AATTTCTTGGAAGATATTCCATTTTGGCCCAAACCTTTGGCACCTATATGTATACATTGTGATAGTCAAGCGAAAATAGGTAGGGCAGGGAGCGTTATGTATAACGGTAAATCTCGTCATATTCGACGGAGACACAATACCGTTAGACAACTACTCTCTAGTGGTGTTATCACAATTGACTACGTAAAGTCAAGAGATAACGTGTCGGATCCACTTACAAAAGGCCTATCTAGAGAGGCAGTTGAAAGATCATCAAAGGGAATGGGGTTAAAGGCCTAGGACAAGTCATCATGGCGGTAACTCTACCTAGCAGACTGGAGATCCCAAGAGCTAGGTTCAAAGAGATCAAATAAAGTTATGAATGGCAGTTCAACATTGTCAACTAACTCAACCCATTCTCGTGATGAAGACAATGTTCAAAAACGAGGTAAAGCATTAAGGCTTTTTGATGAGTCAATAAAGCTTAAAGCTTTTTAATGATTTGCTAAGTCTGGCAGGATATGACCAGATAGTGTGTCTTTAGGATTACACGTTTAGGAATCACCTATGTGAGTGTGAAGTGTAAGCCGCTTCAAGGAGAATGAAAGTAAAGGCCCATTCTCTAAGCACTCATGAAACCAGGCGGTGTTCATGGCTGAAACGAACACAACCGTGAGAACCATAGATGGTTAAGGATTGATTGTGTGACTTATGTTGTCTAGGTATACAACAAAGCTCGACGGTTCAAAGATATCAAATCTACCGATTGACCGAGTATATCCGATATAAGTTCACTACGGAAAGTTCAAAAGGAAACCTACTTATCCAGATGCAATTAATTCTTGCTTGTAAAACACACACATGTCCGTACATTCCTTTGAGTTTATAGCCATTCCCCATTCATGTGGGGGATTGTTGGGTTTGTTATTAATAAATAATAACAAAAAAGGTGTGAATGGAAAATGGTGGGAAAAGAAATGGAGGGAAGTGAAATTTTGAATGAGTTCATTTCACTTATGCACTTTGTCCCTCATTGGTAGAAGGAAAGAAAATCTTTGTGTATATAAAGAGAAGCTCATCTTTTAGCTCTTAAAGAGCTAAGAAAAAGGCAAGTCTCGTGTCGTCGTCGTCGTCGTCGTCGCTCGGCTCGGCTTCAGCTTCGGCTTCGGATTTGTCAACGATTGATTGATTAATCTTTTTGGACAAAATTCTTTTTAAATATTTAATTAATTAATTAAATTAATTAAAGAAAATTCAATCCGGAATAACCCATGACCCGCGATCCGGTCCGGTTCGGCCCGTTTTTCTTTCCCGGATTATTTTAAATCCGTTTTAAATTTTCCCGCAATATTTTCAACAGCCATGGCTGTTCTGAAACAGTGTCACACCTGTTCCAACAGCTATGGCTATTCTGAAAGGTTACAAACCTTTTCAGAAGCAGCACCGAAATTGGCTATAAATACACCTTCAAATCCCAGAATATTTACTTACGAAATTTTCTGAATCTTCTTCTTCTTCTGCACAAAATATTCCAGTGTGTTTTACGACCATCGAGTGGTTCGCCGATCACCAGAGTTTTAGGTACCGATACACTGGTGAGTTAAATCGTTCTATCCTGGGAGGATATATTCCAGAACCTCGGGTACTTGAGGGGAATAATTTTCTTAAGGACACAATGTGTATTCAGTGGGCTCGATTTGTTCCTACAACGTTTTCAGAATTTATTTTGAAGAAGTTTACTGTTTTCGAAATTTAATTTTTATTAACTTTCTGTTTTTTATTTTCAGAAAGATTATTATTTAATTTATTTTCAGCAATACAGATATATAACACCTTCTATATTTAGGGTCAAGTAGGAGCAGAGGCGGCTAAACACTATATGTGGCCTAAAGCGAAAATTTAAAAAGAGGCCTCAAAAGACACTCGAGGTTAAGAAATGTTGTTTCATATCTAATCCTTTAATAATTTCATTAGCTTAAGATAGAAAAATTATCTAAAAAGCACTTAAAGAATAGAAGAAGATTCTACAAAATCATAGTTATACACAAAATTGATTCAAGTTGAAGTGAGTTAGACAAAAATTAAGAAGTTGAGCCCATCCACCATGCATGAGATAACAAAAAAGAATAACAAAAAATAGGAAGTATGCAAATTTAATAATCTACAATTTTTAGGAAAAAATTTAAAAATTGACAACAAATGATTAAAACTAATTTATTTGTCACTAATAATAAATACATAATTATTTATATTATATATAATTTTAGAAAATTTGGGGCCTTAATTTTTTGGGGGCCTGAAGCCACTGCTTTAGTGGCTTTAGGGTTAGCCGCCACTGAGTAGGAGCGGAAAACGGGCGGGGCGGGCGGATCTGGTCGAAAGCAGGTAGTGAAAAAACGGATAAATTATCCAACCCGATCCATATTAAATACGGATAAAAAACGGGTTAACCGGCGGATAATATGGGTAACCATATTATCCATGACTTCTTCCATATGATCACTTTCGGGAGAATTCTTAGTCTCCCTAACTTGAGGAACCCACAATTTGAGGCTTTACAAATGTAAAAGTTAGACCCATTGGTTATCCATTGGTTACTCATTGATTAACCATTTTCTAAATGGATAATATGGGTCTTATCCATATTTGACCCGTTTTTAAAAAGTTCATTATCCAACCCATTTTTTAGTGGATAATATGGGTGGTTAACTGTTTTCTTTTAACCATTTTACCATCCCTAGTCATAAGTGATGTGAAATTATATATTCATTGCCATCTATTTACAACAATTTTGATTCCAACTCGATTTCCAAGGGAAAGTTCACTTATTTTTGCCATTTTCTGTCCTTGTTGCGGGTTTCAATCACAGACGATGTGTTTACTCAACACCGTGAGTTTATACCAAATCTCCTTACTTACACCAGGTGTTGACACCAATTATATTAGTTTACCATGATTAAGTGAAAAATAGAAGTGATAATATAGAGTAATTAATTATAGTTAGCGATAGAAGTGCATATGAAAGACTGCCATGTATTCAGTGGCTTGGCCTAAACACCAGGTGCGGGTAAATTTTTTCCCCCAGGACACTACCAATGGGAAACAACTACAAGGAACTTCTCTGACTATGCATGAAAACCCAAAAATGGTGGAACGGTTATGCATGAAATTCCCAGAGCGGTCAAGTGGTTATGCATGAATTCTGTCATAAACTGTTTTACATTTGTATATGCATAGAAAACATGTCCAGGAATGAAGTTGTGATCCTCGAAAATAAGGGGGTTGGGCAAGTATAGAGATCAATCAAAAGTATAGTACGACACGTCCAACCATCATATTAGAATTCAGTTATAGCCTGAACCTTTAGTGTTCAGTGTTCAAACTCTGAGAAAGACTGCAAGAGAAGCAACCAAAGTCTAGTTTGGTAAAAACCTAAGTTTCCATATGAACAGAGCACTCCACAGCAAAACGCAATCTATTCCATATGAAAAATGGAAAGGAAGAAAGCCCAACTTGAAATATTTCAAGTGTGGGGGTGTCTAGCAAAGGTACAAGTTCCTTTACCTAAAAGGGTTAAAATTGGACCAAAAACAGTAGATTGCGTTTTCATTGGATATGCTACAAATAGTAAAGCATGTCGATTTTTGGTTCATAAATCTGATAATCCCGAGATTCATGTTAATACGGTAATGGAATCAGATAATGCCGAATTATTTGAAAGCATCTATCCATATAAAACTGAAAGCGAGTCGTTAAGTGAAAGACCTAAACGACCTCGGGAAGAACCAAAGGAAAATACTCCAAGTATAGAAGATCCAAGGCGTAGCAAACGTCAAAGAACATCTACTTCCTTTGGACCAGATTTTCTGACATTCTTGCTTGAAAATGAGCCTCAAACTTTTAAATCAGCTATGTCGTCTTCTGATTCAGCATTTTGGAAAGAGGCAGTCAATAGTGAGATTCAATCAATTTTGGATAACCATACATGGGAATTGGTTGATCTTCCTCCAGGAAATAAACCTTTAGGTTCGAAATGGATCTTTAAACGGAAAATTAAAGCTGATGGCACTATTGACAAATATAAGGCAAGACTTGTTGTCAAAGGTTATAAACAAAAGGAAGGCCTTGATTACTTTGACACTTACTCGCCAGTAACAAGGATAACATCTATTAGGGTGTTAGTGGCACTAGCGGCCATGTATGGTCTTGAAATCCATCAAATGGATGTTAAAACAGCTTTCCTAAATGGAGAATTGGAGGAAGAAATTTACATGGAACAACCTGAGGATTTTGTGGTTCCTGGTAAAGAAAAGAAAGTGTGCAAACCTGTTAAGTCGCTTTATGGACTTAAACAAGCACCCAAACAATGGCATGCAAAATTTGACCAAACAATATTGGCAAATGGATTTAAAATCAATGAGTGTGACAAATGTGTTTACATTAAAAATACTCCAGGTCATGAAGTCATTGTTTGCTTATATGTTGATGACATATTGATAATAAGCAAAAGTATGGCAGATATAAATGCTACAAAGCGCATGTTGGCTAGCAAATTCGACATGAAAGACTTAGGAGTTGGTGATGTGATCTTAGGAATCAGAATTCGCAAGACTCCACAAGGTCTAGCATTATCACAGTCTCACTACATTGAAAAGGTACTTGACAAGTTCAAGTATTTGGATTTCAAAATTGTCAAGACTCCAATTGACGTGAGTTATGCACTTCAAAAGAATGAAGGTGAAAGTGACTCACAACTGGACTATGCAAGAGTATTGGGAAGTTTGATGTATATCATGAATTGTACGTGACTAGGTATAGCATGTGCTATTAGCAAACTGAGTCGGTTTACAAGTAATCCCAATCAAATACATTGGATGGCAATGAAACAAGTTTTGGGGTATCTAAAACATACCCAAAATTATGCTTTGCATTATAACAAATATCCTTCCGTGATCGAGGATATAGTGATGCAAATTGGATCACCGGATCATCTGAAGTTAAATCCACGAGTGGATATGTTTTCATAATTGGGGGTGGAGCAGTGTCTTGAAAAATCATCCAAACAAACGTAGCATCGCCCGTTCTACAATGGAATCTGAATTCATAGCTTTAGATAAGGCCGGTGA